AACCCAAATGGCAAATAACAAATGAGTGAAAACTGACCCAGAACTGACACAGATGTTAAAATTAGCAGACAAGGACATTAGAACAATTATAACTGTATTCCAGATGTTCAAAACTTGAGCTCTCATTGAAGATGGCTTTGACTTAAAAAGACATAAAAGATATTTCTTTCTTTAAAAAAGATGCACATTGAGCTTCTAGAGATGAAATGTGTGGTGTGTTAACATGAAAAATACTGCACGAGGCTGATTCCAGATTAGACGTTGCGGAAGAAAAGATTAATGAACTTGGAGCTATTGCAATAAGAACTATTGAAATAAAACTCAGAGAGGAAAAAAAGAAAAAAGAAAGGAAAAGAGAAGAGAACCAGTGAACAAAAGAACAACTGTGAACAGGCTAATATATGTGTAATTACATTCCATGAAAAAGAGAGTAGGTGTGGGCAGGAAGACTATTTGCAGAAATAGTGGCCAATCCCCCCTCAATTTTAATAAAGGCTATACACCTATAGGTCCAAGAAAATCAATGTCTTCCTAGCACAAGAGACATGAAGAACCTATGTCACAAAACCTGCTCAAAATAATCAAAATCATAATTGAAATATGCTTAAAACCAGTGATAAACAGCAACTCTTAAAACCAGCCAGAGAACAAGACACATGTTATGTACAGAAAAGCTAAGATAAAAATGAAAGCAGCTTCTTATTGGGAACAAGGCAAGGAAGGAGACAGAAGGGCAGTCCAGAGCAAGATGTCGGCCATGCCTTCTGCCTTCTTCTGTACCATCTGCAAAGGGCTGACCTGTTCACACAGGGGTGATGCTGGTTTCTCAGTCCATGGGAGAGCAGAAAAGGAAAGAGAGCTTGTTCTAAGGAAGGAACCTACCTGACTTGGAAAACGCACATCCCACCAGCCACACACTTAATGCCCCTAGGGCCACACCTGGCTGTGAGGATGCTGTAAGCATAGTCTCCAACCTCCAGCAGCAGGAAAACAGAAGAACATGCATGCATATTGCGAGGTGATGGCCAGTGTCGGCCACACTGCCCTATTCTCATTTAACCTTTATCCAAAGGCTTCTTTATTTGGCCAATTAGCAAATCTGTCGCTATCTCACAAAACATCAGGCTCCATGAGGCTAGAAACCAAGTCAATTTGGTATATTCTTGCTCAAGACCTGTTTTCATTGTTGTGATCACCTTGGTTTTGTTGCTTTTTCTTTTCTAATAGTGTTTCTCTACTTTTTTAAAAAATATTTTACTTATTTATATGTCAGAGAGAGAGAGAGAGCACAAGCAGGCAGAGCGGCGGGCAGAGGCAGAGAGAGAAGCAGGCTCCCCATTGAGCAGGCAGCCTGATGCGGGACTCGATCCCAGGACTCTGGGATCATGACCTGAGCCGAAAGCAGCAGCCCAACCAACTGAGCCACCCAGGCGCCCATCTCTCCATTTTTTAAAAAGCAGGCTTATGGAGCTATAATTCACATACCATACAATTCACCCACTTAAATGGGCAAGTCAATGTATTTAGTTGTATTTTCAGGACTTTGCAACCATTACCATGACCTAATTTTAGAGTTTTGGACCACCCAAAAGAAACCTCATATCCATTAGCGGTCATTCACTTTTCTCTTCCCCTGCTTCAACCCTAAACAACAAGCAATCTACTTCCTATGTTTCAAATCACGAAATAGCAACAGATCTCCACTTCTAGTGCCTCACATGTAGTGGGCACTCTAAAAACATACACTGGACCTAGGTAAAGTCTTCCTGCTGTCAGCATACATTCTCAGGTTGAAGGTTCCCTGTCAAGGGTTTTTCCAACTACATATTGCTACTTTGGTGAACTTTATCACTTCCTCTGGGTGCTCAGGATAAACAAATAAAATCACACTATCTGGCAGCTGGCAATGAACTCATTTTCCCTCCACCACACCTCTGGGACCGGAATGCTCGCAGCTCCCATTTGACAGATGAGAACACCAGAGTCCATCTCTGCTTCACCCGCTGGCGGATTTTGAGAACTGTTGACCCATTTGCTCAACACAGATGTGAGACCTCAGCTTTAGCCAAGCCAAAAGACGCAAAATCCCCAAGTCTGAGAAAATGTTGTGTTAGCCGGCCTTATTTCGGCCTGCGTGTACGGCCCATTACATAAACAATATTTGTTTTTCAGCTGAACCCTTACAACCTGCTCTGTGATCTGCCCGCCAACCACCCTCCTATCAGGCATCCTGCCTGTGCCATCATTTTCCCCAAAGTGACATAAATATCCACACCAACACTCAGGAAAACTGGACATCTTCACAGACAAGAATCTTTCTGTTCCTTAAACTGTTTCCCAGCTTGCTCTCAAGCTGGCAAGATGCCTCTGTTCGATCACTTGATATTCTGACTTTTCTTAGAGTAAACTCTGCAATCAAGCCAGGAGTGCAGGCACCCTCTCGGACTGTGTGGCTTCTGGGTACGTGGAAACAGGAGGGCATTCGGGGCCCTGGTTTCTCGCAGAAGGACCTCACAGTTTGGATCTGTTGGCTTTATTTTAATTCAGATACCAAAATGAAAATAAAAATTGTTTGAGGTATCTATTTCATAGCTCCTGGTCCTTGCCCCCAGCCACCAAGTTGCCAGATGGTGCTGTCTGCACCATCTCTCCTTTCCAACTGATCCCTTTTCAAGGAAACAGTGGTCTTTCTTTCCAGACACCTTGTGGAAAGGATGGAGGAAACAAAGCGAGGCTGGTGAGGGCGGGCACTGCCTCGGGCTGGGGCTGAGTGGCAGGCTGGTGCGAGAGTCTGGGAGGAGGGCCCTGCAGCTCCAAGCCTGTAGACTTTGATGTTGAGAAGGCCTGTGGACCAGAGTCAGGGAAACTGAGATACACTGACCCAGTAACTGATTATTCAGCTGCATCTCAGAAAGACTGAGGTTGGCGGGGATTGACAGCTATGGCTTCCTTTTGCTGCCTTCGGGGGTAGAAGCCAAGGAAGTGTGGGGCAAAGATGCAGCCTTCAGGGGCAGGAACAGAGATAGGAAGTCACCCAGCCCGGAAGCCCCATTGTTCAGGTATGGGGGGGGGTGCTTTTTTTCTAATCCAGGCTGAGATGGGCAGCGGCCTGAGGTAGAACCTGATAAGGCAAAGACAGGGACATGGATGCATGGGTGGGGAAGAAGGAAAATGAGTGCAGGCACTATGGACACATGGAATTTCTGTGGGCTTAATGATTTTTCAGTTCTGTGTGGGATGGATAATATGCATGTACCAGAGTCCAGGGTGTGCAAGAGTGTTTTTTTTAAAGATATTAATCCTTATCCACCATGTTTTTGTTCCACAACATGCTGACTTTCACTTATTTTAAAATATACTACTGAAAGAGCTCATGAAATTTCATACCACTGTTCCCCTCTATGCAATTTTCTTGTTACTTTTTGACAGATGAACAAATGTCTATGATAATTTTGAGTAATAACTTCCATCGGTTGTTTTTCATGAGCATAATACGCAAACATTTGTAGGCTGGATGGGAACAGTTAGAGGCTGTCTAGGGCAGGGATTTTAACTTGATGTGGATGAGTCTTATGCGGAGGGGAGAAAAATGGCAAAGTACACATCAGATTTTCCCAGGAGAAAATTCATGCACACACTTAAAAATATTTTAAAATCATCTTGCTGCTTAGATTGAATGTTGTTCAAACAGTTTAACCCATTTTGGAATTTCAAGGGATTGAACTGTTGCTTACTGAAAAGGGAGCTATGCTGACTTAGTAACAACCTCTCATTTAGAGACTGGGAAACGGGGGGTGCCTGGGTGGCTCAGTGGGTTAAAGCCTCTGCTTTCGGCTCAGGTCATGATCCCAGGGTCCTGGGATCGAGCCCCACATCGGGCTCTCTGCTCCGCAGGGAGCCTGCTTCCTCCTCTCTCTCTGCCTGCCTCTCTGCCTAGTTTCTCTCTATCAAATAAATAAAATATTAAAAAAAAATAGAGACTGGGAAACTGATCCCAGAGTGACTTGCAAAAAGCAATCCAGCCAGTGGAGCGGGCAGAACGGAGACTCAGAATCCCTTACTGTGATTCCAAACTCGACCCCTTTCTTGTGATGTTCTTGGATTTGGTGGCCAGAAGTATTCTGTTTTGGTATTTGTCCCAATTAGCTCTCTGCTAAAGAGAAGAAAAAGGGGATCCTCTGAGTGACAGTTGATATGCTACTAGATAGAGTAAGTATTCACAGGTGTCAATAGAGCTAATCATTGTGCTAAGCATTTTATATGATCATCTCCCTCAAAACTCATTAACAATACTGTAAGTTGGGTACTGCAAATACCCCCATTTTGCAGGTGAGAGAGAGAGGCTCAGTATTTTGCACAAAGTCACACAGTTAACAAATGGCTAACTCTGCCTGATACTCATGACAACTGAATGTGGAAGCCATACTCCTAATTGCTGGAACACAGGAATATTTAAGATCATAGTTGTTGGGTTCTGAATGTGGGCTCCAGCTTGAGTAGAGTTTGGGTAGAATTTGACCTTTATTCCTTCTCAGTGTCTGATGCCAGCATGGCTGCCTCATCATGCAGTGAGCTGCACGTCACAGAAGGGAATCAAGTAGGTATAGAATGCCCCTGAGAGGAGCACCTGGGGGGCTTAGTCAGTTAAGCAGCTGACCCTTGGTTTCAGCTCAGGTCATGATCTCAGAGTCCCGGGTCAATCCCGACTTTGGGCTCTACACTCAGTGGAGAGTCTGCTTGAGGATTCTCTCTCTCCTTCTCCCTCTGCCCCTGCCCTGCTCTCTCTCTCCCTCTCTAATAAATAAACAAATCTTAAATTAAAAAAAAAATGTCCACTGAGAAAAGATGTCTCTGATCCAGGTTGAAACCACTGACCTGTGTTTTCCAGTACTGGGTGTCTATGATGCTCATGACTTGCTTCTTAGCTTCTAACCCATCAGTCTTGGCTCTCCCACTCACACCTCTCTGATCATGGTGCCTGTCTGGCATCTTTCCACAAGCATTTCTGTTGCGTAACTAATTGGCTATAAGGCACTTTTACCATAAAAGATAAAAATCATGAAAAGTAAAAGAAGGACATTGATTTAAAAGGGCATCATTAAACATGAAAAATGAAGAACAAAATGAAAGACTATTGCAAAATGCAAAATACCTGAATACATTCCAAATGTATTCCAAATGAATACATGTATAGTGTATATTCATGGCCACGCTGCAAGTAACTGATTTTATTTTGGGGACCGTACCTAAGCATTTGTCTTCAAAGTCTTTCATTCATGGTCTACATTTGGTGGGGGGCTGCTTGTGGATTCACCTTCTCCGTCGGCATTCAGTCTTTTTTTTTTCCCCCAGAGGGAGAGCACAAGTAGGGGGAGCAGCAGGCTCCCTGCAGAGCAAGGAGCCCGATGTGGAACTCCATCCCATGACTCCGGGATCATGACCTGAGTCGAAGGCAGACGTCCTACCGACTGAGCCACCCAGTCAGTGGCTAGGTGGTAGGATACCACTTTTTCTTTTTTTGCTAAAATTTCTTCCTTCATTAAGCGAGGTATCAGTTCCCAGATACTATGCTGTACATTTGTAACTGAGCTTTGTGTTGTGCTGTGGAAACCTCTACACTGTCATCTGTTCTTGGCATCCCGTCCACCAAGAGATCTTTGGAAGTTCTACAAGAGATGTGGATTCAACACTGCACCACTGTGTGGACCATTATGAGGGCTGAGATTTATAATAATATAAAATGAAAAAATACTGCCAAAGGAGAAATGAAACTAAACTGTCAACCAGTTTTTTAAAAAAATTTTATAGCAAAATTGCCTTATGGCCAAGTTGTTATGGGGCAAAAGTACTATGGCAAAGATGGTTATGGCAAAGCTCTCCAGAACCATTTTGGTGTCACCGAGGTGTTTATGTCTTAACCATATTGCTAAGTTGCCTTCATAGGGTATGTGAATTCTGGAGAGGAAGATTTCTGAGAGGGCAGCGATGCCTTTTCTCAGCCCAGTGAATCAGGCAATAAACAGCATTGAAAGTGTAAGACTTTTGCCTGGGTCCTAGCTGGTATGACAATATGATGCAAGTTTGCTGTAGAATGCTAAAACCATACAAAAGTGATGACTCTTGGCGTGGAAGCTGCTGGCCACACAAACACCTAACAGCATGTTGGGCACACAGATTATTTGAACAGGAAAGGACTCAGCTATCAAATAAAAGTCACCTTCCTTTGACCTATAAGAAAAAACCAGAGAGCAAGTAAATTGCTTCCATGTCTCACAGCATGTTGGTGGTAAACTCAGCACCGAAATTTCAACTGGGATGTTTCTGAGATCTTCCTGAAGGCTCCTTCTATCCATCTAACCAACCATCCGGCAAACTTATATTAAAGGTCTTCTTTGCTGTTGTCTACACAAGATGGAGGAGTTTGAAAGATGAGGACTCCCCATTCCCTGTGTTGGGAGCTCACGGCGCATCAGGGAAGGAAATGTGTATCCAACAGTTACATAATTTGAAAAGAACTGCAGTAAGACGTATAGATTCTATAGAAACAGAAGAAGATGAACGTTCTAGGGAAAGCCATCCCAGGAGTTCTGTCTGAAGTCAACTTTGTGGGATGAGTAACAGTGCATTAGACAAGATGGCACAGATATGTGAGAGGCTATGTGGAGATGAGACCTAGAGCCCTTACCTCCCATGGGTGCTAAAAACAGAAGTGGAAACAGCTTTAAAAAGTAGAAACAATGGCTACCTCAAAAAATATTTGGGATGTGGGAAACCTCCTACCAGAGGGATCCATGGAAAGGGGGTCGGCCTGGAATAACTGTCTTTAAAACAACCTCAAATATCTAAGGACCCATCTATTGAACTTTCCCTAACTCACTTCACATTAATGTGATCTTCAAAGATGGCTGTTGGCATCGAGAAGAAAGAAGGGCCCCTCCCTCTTGATCGTGCTCACTCTCCCTCCCGCCACCTCTCGAAATAAATAATATCTTGAAAAAAAGAAGAAAGTGGGGGAAGACCAGGGAAGCAGAGCATTTTTTTTTCAACCATATTCTTCTGTGGAGGCAGCTCATGGTTATGGTTAAAGCCATATATAATTTAGTGACACCAAGAGACACCATAATCTGAGAGAGACAGTGGGGAAGCCAAGACTTGCCTCAAAAGCCAAGAGGCAAGCAAGCTATGGAAAGCAAATCTCATGAACCGTTGTTGTTGCTTCCATAGGTGGGCAATATTAGTAACTTCCCCTGACCATCTAAGCGTTCTTTTGGCTGGGCCCACCCTTCTATATGCAAAGGGCTCATTTCAAGGGGGTCCAAGGATTGCCATGAGTGAAAAATATGTTCCATGTGGTTAGGGTGGTAACAGGATGGATATCTCACTGCCCACTCCGAGAAGGCCCATATCCCTCAAGGAACTGACAAAGCTAAATGGTTTCACCATCAAAGCTGTGGCATGGTGCCAAGGAAGCCAAAATGAGGAGTTTACAGTTCCAAAAGGGGTCACATGTCTCTCTGAGGAGAGAGTGACTGGATTTTCTTTCTCTTTAGCATGTCTCTGCCTAGACATGCTTCATTTTTTTTTTTCCAAAAGATTTGCTTCAGGTCAGCCAGAGAGAGGAGTTTTGCTTAACTCAAGATTTGGCACAGACAGCTGGAGTGGAATAAATTTTGAAAGATCCAAAATGTGGGGTCTGGAATGACTAGCCAAAGTTATTCAACCTTTTTTTTTCCACATAAAGTCAGTGACTACTGAAAAGGTATTAGTAAGTCTACACTGCCTATAATTATTCGACACATATGAGGAGCCACACAGCTCCCATTTTGTATACATATACACTGTGATGGTTAACTTCGTGTGTCAAAGTCGACCAGGCCATGGTGACTAGATATTTGGTCCAACATTATTCTGGATGTTTCTGTGAAGGAGTCTGTTGGATAAATTGGCAGTTTATGTTGGTAGACTTTGAGTAAGGCAGATTACTGCCATGATGCCGGTGGGCCTCATCCAATCAGGTAAAAGCTTCAATAGTACAGAGACTAACCTCCCCCACACAAGAAGGAATCCCACCAGCTGGCTGCCTTTGAATTGGAAGTGCAGCTCTTTCTGGGTCTTCAGCTGGCCAGCCTACTCTAGATTTTGGATGCACCAAGCATCTACAATTGCATGAGCCAATTCCTTCAAATAAATTTCCCTTTGAACAATCAATCGATCAATAGATGATAGATAGATAGACAGACAGACACACATCCTGTTGGTTCTGTCCTCTGGAGAACTCACACACACACACACACACACACACACACACACACAAGCATACTCACACCAAGGACCTACTGTATACATCAGGCTGTATGCCAGTTTATTTATATTCATTTAATCCTCCTAAGTACTTTATGTCGTAGCTATTATTACCTCCACTTTGCAGATGAGAGAACTGAGGCTCAGAAAGATCAGATAACTTGATCAAAGTCCGCAACTCATACGAGACAGAGCTGGAACTTGAACTCAAATCTATCTGACCGCGAGACTGTGCTCAGTTCCCAAAGTGATGACAAGTAACCGGGCAAAACACAACAAATTAAGTGGCAGAACATGTGAAGGGAGAAGACCCACAAGTGTGGAATCACCTCCCAATAACCATCACCAGTGAAATCATCCGCAATTGGAAGAGACAGGCTGCTGGAAGAGGCAGGGCCGCCCTGGCAATGGGAAGCACACTCCAGATCCCTCTCGCTCTGTGTCTCTGCCCGTTCCCCACACCACTGTGATGTGATGGGTTTTTGCTGATTCTGGACGTGCCCTGGACATTCGTGGTGGCCCAAAAGAATGACAATTAGGTTTCACATTAGCTTCCCTCACGACTTCATCACTATTTTTCTCCGTTGAAGTATTTTAGAAAATTGCCCCAGACAGATTTCTGGAATACATAGGACCTGGACATATTTTTAAATGAAGGACATTCCACTGAGAGCAAGCCTAAATATTGCTCTCATCCGAGGAAGTATGTTCTTGGGGTAATACGGATGGGTACTGGAAGCTGAAGCCCAGCTCTGTGATTATAATCTGGGTGGACATGGATAGAGGGCAGGTCCCCAAGTTTCTCCCTGGATTCCCAATGTCTGGCTTAGTTAATCATCCTGGAAGAGGATGATTAGACAGTCCCACTTCCTCTCCTCTTTCTCTCCCTGGCCACATGCTTAACTTTCCCTCGACACACAGTGCTACCAGCATGTCTGGGAAGCCTTTACCCATCTTCAACTGGAAGTGAAGCTTGACCATTCCTCGGCTTAGAAATAACCAACTCAGAGTGCCCAAGGATGAAGCCCCTGGGGACACCTTTGTACCTAGAGACAAAAATTTGATTATTTCGGCATTCACATGACCCCTCCCCTGTTCTCCATGAGTTTAGATAATCCTGTGTTGACCAAATGACCGTCCCTCTTGCTCCTCAGAGTGTGAACATTTATTTCCAGCATCCCCCAGATTTCCCACTGATGTGTTTGCATCCTATACGTGTCTCAGTGCTCTCCAGCTTTGATTCTGTTTTGTTTTTATTTCTCCCTTTGTATAGTCTTTAAGTAGTCCCTGATGGTGTGTATGTGTGATTTCATATCACGAGAATGGTGTGGCCATGGCAATGAGGCATTAGGGTGTTTCATAAATCAACCACAGTTTAGGGAAACGATGACAAGGCTGATTTATAGGCTATTTCAGCTCTGATTTCCATATAGCTTTTCTCTGATTCACGATTATTCCTTGGAGGAGTAGAAAGTAAAAGAAAGTACAGTGTGGGTGGTAGGTTCCCTCCCCAGAAATTCACGATAGTCATCATCTCCATATAGGAAAGCAGATATTTATTCTTTCCAATGGATGAATGTTGTCCATGGCAACTGGGAAACTCTCAGAGCTGGAAGAAGTGAGCCAACGAAAATTCATTTTCTCTTAACCTGGGTAAAGCAAGACTAATTTTACATATTGGTCAAGAGAATTAGAAAATTACCAATAATTTATGACATAACAAACCCCAAGAA